TGGGGGCAGAAAGAGGAGACGAAAGCAGACGACAGAATATTGCTAGAGAGCAGGAAAGGAGGTGAAAGGAGACAATTTTAGAGAAGAAAATTTTTCGGTCGCTACCCGGATTCGAACACGGGACCTTTGAATGAGAGGCCAACACCATAACATCCAGGCCACGAGAGCCCCCCCAAAAAAAGAAGAAGAAGGAGAAGATGAAGAAGAAGAAGAAGAAGAAGAAGAAGAAGAATCATTCATCTCAATGTCTGACGATGAGCAATGCCTCTGTAGAGAAGAATGTTTTTAAAGCAAAACAAAAGAAATAAGGGATAAGATGACCTACGGTTTATGCTGAGGCTAGTGAGACCAATTCTATGGGAGAAGAGTTTGCCACATTTTGAGCATTTTATTTTTAGTACGCGAAACACAACCCCGCTATATTGAGGATATAAAAAAAAGGAACAGGCATTTTTTCTCTGCACCAAGTACTAGAAATGACTTATGCAATTGTGTCATGACGGTGACAATAACAAAATCGCCGACTATCAAACTGAGGCTCACCCTTTTCCGAGGGAGCTTTCACATTACTTCCTGCGGGTGCTGACTTTATCGCAGGCTCGTCTTGTTCATGCGTCGGGGTGCTGCTCCGTGGGAAAGAACTGCCAGCCTGAAACGATCAGAAAGAAATAATTGTTCATCGTTTACTGAAGGGAAAGAAATTACGAAAGTAGATAAAAGTATTAATACATTTCTTTATACAGACTTAATCAGCCATAGGTATTTCTTAACCCCTTCACTGCCCCAGCAGGCCAAGAAGTGCTTCCCTGTGCCATGTGCCCGCTGATTCGGCGGGCCTATGACGAAGTCATTTTTAGAGTAATTTTCCACTGTTTAAAGGGACCAAACTGTGTCACGACTAATCCTCATTGACATTACAGTAGTCTCTCGTGAATCTGAGCGTCATTTTCATTGTTTTGAAGAAGTGAAGTGTTGACGTTCTGAGTTATGTTTACGTTTTGTTGTTTTTTTTCGCATTTCGCAATGGCATCCAACAGACCAGTCTATCGACCTTCCTTTTTAGCTGCAGAAGTTCTAGACGAAATTATGAATGACTGTAACAGTGATGATAATGATTTCAGTTGAGTTTCTAAGTTTGGGGCTCTATGTGACGCTTGTAGTAATAGGAGCAATTTTCCCCTGCACAGCTATGTAGCTCATAGCCTGCAGTTAAGGGGTTAAGCATTGACTTGTCTGTGAGGAGCAATACTCAGCAGAACATGTACTTTCTGACACAAAAGCGGACTTCCATACTCAGACCTTCAAAAACATATTTAATAGGATTTTGACGCACTGGTTATCAGCTGTGAAATACTGATCAGACTCACCTGAGCTGCTCGACTTCCACCGCCAGACTTGACCGTGCTGCCTTCCAAACTGACCTTGCCGTTCACCTGCTGCCCAGCGACCTTGGCATTGCTCTGAGCCGTCATCCACTCTAACCGTTTCCGCTCCAGGATTCGAATCTCTTCCTTCAGCTCCCCATTCTCCAGCTCCACCTCCGCTAAGCGGTTTTTGAGACGAGCAGTGCTCGAATTCCAACGACTTTCTTTCCTCTTCAGTTCCTCTTGAACTTCTTCCAGCTAAGGGAAAAAAAACATGTAAAAAAAATTTAATCGACATAAAGAACTTGAACATTTTTACTTTCACTAGAAAACCAGAAGGCAACAGAGGCAGACAGACAAAGAATAACTTACTTTCAAAACTCAAAAGATAGTTGACTGGAAAAGAACAGGATATAATAGGTTTTGTGGGGGGTTTTAATAGCATCCGAGCATCATCGCAAACCATGACAACCAACGTCAACGTCTGCTTCAAATTTGGCCCTTCAAGATGACAATAAAATACTAAACAACATATGAAAAGTGCCGAAGATTAGAAATGTCACCCGAGAAGAACATACAAAGAAAAGTTAAGTAGGAGAGATAAGGACAATAGATATTTCACAGAAAAGAAGGAGCAAACCAAACCAGGGCATCCGCCAACCACCCACTTTCATACACTCAACATGCCAAAAACTCTCACCTGCTGACGCAGATTCTCAATTTCTTCTCGTTCTTTCTTGTCTGGCATAGACCGAACTTTCTTCTGGTAAGTTTCAAAGAGTTTCCGCTCCCTCCTGAAAAATCAAAAATGGAAATTGTCAAACTTCAGTGCAGGTAGAAAGTCTGATTTGAAAGCTTTCACTCCTTCCTGCAAATAAGAAATGGGCTTCGTCAATTATTTCTTTCAGAGAAATCAAATATGGATTTCATCAATCATTTCTTTTTGTGAAATCAAAGATGGGCTTCCTCAATTATTTCTTTCAGAGAAATAAAAAATGGGCTTCCAAAATTATTTATTCAGAGATAATTCTAAAGCCTCTTACTCCATCCAAAAAGAAAAAAAAAAAAGTAAAAGAAAAAAGAAGGAAAACAAGTTTTCGTTTCACGGTAGCAATGCATTGCGACTCACTTGAGTTTCTTAATCTCCTCCTGCTTGAAGTCCTCTAAACGCTTCAGCTCCTGCTCCTTCTCCTTCTGGAACGTCTCAATCTCCTGCTTCAGCTTAGACAGACCCTGGATTGAGGGAAAATAATTTTATAAAAGACAAAAACAATTTGAAATTATATTATCAATATCATTTTTATTATTAGAGCATTTAAAAAAATTATAACTACTGATGATACTATTACCGTTATTCATTTTCTCAAAAGGATTATTGTTTCTATTATTTTCACTAATATCATTGCCATTTAACTTTAAAATTATTATCATCATATTACTATAATCATTATTACTATTGCAACCATTATTATTATTACCTTATACTATTATCGTTACTACTATTATTTATCATTATTACAAATTTTTTATCATCAAGTCATCAAGGGAAATCAATGATCTCACCTCCTCGCGTTCCCGGCGAAGTCGGTCCAGATTAGCGTTCTCCGAACGAAACCGTTCTATCTCCACCTCCAGCTCCTTCAGTTTGTCTCTCAGCACCCGAGACTGGATCCCATCGGCCTGCTGTTGCTGTTGCTGCGCTGATTGAGCCAGCGGGGCTGCCGATGCCTGCTGTAGTGCTGCGCTTGCCTGCAGAAAGCAGAAATGTGGAAATGTCAGAACATAGTTACCGAAATGTCAAACACTATTGCTTACATAATATACACTGCTGAGTGAATTTCACTGAAAAATGTTGATCAAAAGCACAAAAAAGTGAAACAGCAGTTTCTAAGGACTTTCAAGGTTTGGAAGTCACCAAACTTTGGAAGCCATTTTCTCGCTAATGTTACCTCGGACACTAACTGAACCTCCCCCCCCAAATCACAAATACCTCTACTTCTCTTCATGATTGATGGATGGGTACATTTTTCCTCAATAGCAAGACAACTGAAGATAACTCCATATACCCAAAACTTGACAAACACCAGATTCCACCGCGCCGAGACACATAACATCTCCTTGCAACAAATAATATCTATCTACTCAACAACAAAACGGTCAAATTACCTTCTCGGCTTCTGCACTCGGTTTTGTCTTCAGCTTTGGGAAGAGCCGGGTGACCAGTCGCGATGTCGGAGGGGTTGAAAGCATCGTGCCCTCCGACATGGGAACAGGGGCTGGCTCTGACGAGGCTGAAGAGAGAGAGAGAGAGACAAGAGCTGGGGGGTTTATTTTTTGTTTTGGTAAATGTTTTACAGCGCTCGCAACTGAACAGTTCATGTGAGTGCACGGGACACATTAAACATTTTGAGAGACAAGAGCTGACTTTATTTCTATTACAGTGACAATGATAGAGAGAGTGATAATGACACTGATAATGACAATAAGAATGATGATGACAATGATAATGATAATGACAGTCAGAATGATAATAATGACAATGATACTGATAATAATGACAATGATACTGATAATGACAATGATTTTATAATGAAAACGACAATGATAATGATAACGACAATGACAATGATAATGACAATAAGAATGATAATGATGACAATGATGCTGACAATGATAATGATAATGATGACAATAATACTCTCTTTACTGAACAGAACAAGAAATTTCTATTAACCAGACAAGACCCCTTCAACAAACCCCCTTTTTTTAAGATCAAAACTTACATTTCAAACAAGTTTGAGCATCCTCATCCTCATCTGTCCACTCCACTTCATCGTCAAACGCAGCTGCAGTAGCAGTAGCCACCGATCTTGACCCTAACCGGCCTGGCGCCCCTTCGTGCACAGTTCCCGAGCGCTCAGCCGTCCCCGTGGAGACCTTCTTTCCCTCTGAGTGCGAGCCAGTTTCTTCCACCAGTCTCTGTGATATCTTTCCTTTGTCCTCTCCACACCACTTCTTCTTCTCCAATTTTTCCTCCTCCTCCGAGTTATACTCATCACTTTCATCATCACTGGAATTACCTTCCTCTTCACTTTCATAGTTGTCGCTGTCCCCAGCAGCATTTCTTAGCTTATCGACAACAACAGCTGAGCTCTTGCCGTTGTTGTAGTTATATTTCTGACTACTATAGAGTTTATTCAGCGAGCTCCTCAGGGGATTCTCTGCCTGCTGAGACTCCGGTCCGAGGTGGTGGCTTGGGGCACTTGTGAAAGTCGGCTGCACCATCGTGGAGTACAACGACGAGGGCTGGAGAGCCTGCGAGGTTTCGGTCAAACCCGTAAAACCGAAACTTGTAACTGGAACTACACTCGCGCCATTGGGAGCTGAAAACGCGAAGGGCGCACCGCTACTTGCAAAGTTCGGGGGCACTTGAGGGTCTCTGTTGTCTGCTGTCCCATTTGACATAGCTTGAGCCACTAGACTGGCAGAGTTGTTCTTGCTTTTGTCAAACTTTTGCCCACCATCGCCTGCGCCACCACCTCCAGAAGTGAGGTAGCCTGCCTGCTGGGAAAGGGCTTTGAGCATTGACAACGTGTCATTGGCTGAGGAGAATTTCCCAGCGAGGGGGGCCACCTTCCTTGGCAGTGCCTTCGATGGAGAATTCGTCTGCTGTGAATTGCTTCCAACTTTGTCTGCATACGACGCAAAATTTTGTTCAAGTTCTGGCGACAAATGAGCAGCAGCACTATCTTTCATTGTTGTCAAACCATTCTGAAGACTAGTATATCCATCTCCCTGCTGCAGTATGCCTCCTTGGTGTTGTTGTCTGTGGAAACCCTCCTTCTTGTTCTCCTCAACTTTATCATCATAGAACTCATCATCATTATCATCGCTTGAATCTGTCAACGTAGCATCCGATGACGATGCGTCGGAATCAGGCTCGGCAACTTGGATGTTTCTCCCACCACCATTAGACGACAAAGTTTTCTTATTGTTGCTGCCGCTGTTGCTGGTATTCTCATTAATGTTGCTGTTGTTGTTGATGTTGTTGTGGTCACTGTTGGCTTTGAAGAAGGCACTTTGTGTTTTAATCGTCGCTCCAGCTTTTTCATGTTCCGTTAACTCCTCATTATTCTTCTCATTTTTCCCTGGGCGTGAATTTTGCCCTCTTGCAGAATCCTCCGCACTTTCACCAGTGATTCCCTTTTTTGATTCATTGATAGTCTTCAGCCGACCAATTGCTTCCTGGAGATGAGACGCGACGACATGTTTTGTTTGAGTTTGAGTAAAGGGAAGCCCACAGAAACACAATAACGGTCATTTTATGAACAACATTTTTACTACTGAAGTAATTTGAGTCTGCACAATACTAATACCACAACATATACAGTTTTGGTAGTTACTGAACCAGTGAGAGCAATCACTAGGCTATATAATATGGGCAATTAAAGAGCTGCTTTGTAAAGTTGATTTTTCATTGCTTTGTAAAGTTGATTTTTCATCTCATTCGTCACACACAGCTGTACTACCTTAAGGCAAAGGCTCACATGCAAACCTTGTTTTAGTCTGTGCTGACTTACTACACATGCATGCATACACACACGCAAGCATGCACACAAATGCACACACATGCGCGCGTGCACACATACACACACACACACACACACACACACACACACACACACACACACACACGCACACACACGCACACACGCACGCGTGTACATGCACAACAAACCTTGTGGTAGTCAGAGCTGACCAATTTCCGGACCAGGGAGGAGTTACTGCAGAAACTCACGTTGTCCATTGCTTCTTCCATCAGCTCAAACTCTGCCAGGCTGTCCAGCTCAGTCTGAGGAGGCAGGGGAGGAGGGAATTGACATGGGTGGGGAACAATGATGAAGCAGGAGAGAGAGGGAGGGGAGGAGGGAATTGACGTAGGTGGGGAAGTTTAGTTTAAGTAGAGGTTTTACGGCGCTCGCAACTGCATAAGGTCATATGAGCGCCAGAAGATTAGAGGTGTTACAAGAGAGTAACAAACATAAAAAAGAAGAGGGGGAAATACGGATGCTAGATGTTTCATAGGAAAGAAGAAGCAAACCACACCAGAGCACCCGCCAACCACCCACGTGGGTGGGGAAGAATGGTGAGGCAGGATAGAGAGGGAGGGGAGGAGGTAATTGACGTGGGTGGGGAAGAATGGTGAGGCAGGAGAGAGGGGAAGGGGAGAGGGAGAGAAATAAATTTAGAGCTTTATTTTGTCTACGTATGCAGCTTTAACCCCTTCAAAGCCGTAGGTAAATAGGCCCTTATGCCTTATGCCGAGGGGGGGGGGGGGGTTCCCGTGAACCAAGGCTGCTCAGGGGTGACCCCATTCTACATCCTATAACTTTTTTATTTATGAATATTTCCTCATGAATTTCCGCATGTACATTCTACACTGACCCACATTTTAATTTATATGATTTTGGGGATATGTCATTGAGAGATAGCAGGAAAAAAGTTGGGAGTTAGTAACATGATGCCAAAAACAACACCATCAAACAAATTCACATTCGAGTAATGATAAGCTGAGACCAAAAAAAAAAAGGGGGAATACACGTTGTTTGAGTGTTTGCAGGTAAAGAAAAAGAGACAAGAGGCTTTTCCTACCTCATACAATGCTCGAAAATCCATATATCTATACATGTAAGACCATGCTGTGTACTGCCAGTAAATCATTTTTGTGCGATAGATGTTTATATCTAGATTCTACATCTAATCTTTTCTCCGAGCTAAAATCTGAATCTGACGCTTTCAAATTGGGGGAAAATTGAGGTAAACATAAAGGGAAGGTTCCTCAATAATAATTGCAAGATTTTAGCAGTAACTTCCCTTAATATTGGTATCAAAACAAACCCCTGTCACAGTCCCGTAAATTCTACAGGCCTTAGGCACGGTGCTACAGGTTTCAGGCCCGTAAATTCTATGGGTGCGGCAGCGAAGAGGTTAATAGGCCCACAGTACTTTTGACTTTCATCTGACAAAATTTTTGGGGTATTTTTTTAATATGCACACGCCGATCTCGGTGTTTACTGCCTTTACATGATAGGGCAAGGCACTTGGTCCCATCTACCACAGAACTTATACCATTAAACTATGTTTCCTCTCCCCCCC